ATTGTGACAGAGAACGGGCTGCTATTTTAACAGTATTTTTCAAGTCACTGTTATATACACAAAAAATATATATATATATTTTTTCTAAACCAAATTTTTTTACTGACGTCAAACGACCTTCGTATCTTTATTAATTTCCTTATAATATATTTGTCGCATTTTTTAATACTTCATTAGTGTTACCATTATGCTCCTCATTAACGTGTGTATAATGTAACATATATATTTGTTGTGGTTATTTGATACATATAACTTTACTGTGACTTAGAACAGAGATACGTTGGCAGAAAGTTGACACAAAACCTCAGGGCGACCAACTACGTCAGGCTCTACGATAATGACCAAAGTGACATGATCCGCTCGCGTGTGATTCTTTCCTCCCCTCTGTACTTCTGATGGTCCCAGGGAAGCTCTTTGAATATGTTATTTAGGACATTTCCATCACAAAGATTTTACTGTCGGTGAACTGTACACCGGTAGTTGTGCCCAGAGTTCTGAATAAACTTCCCACATCTTAACAACTATGAATCAGGATTTCACTCTATCATGTTGCTGATCTTTCTCTATAAACTTTGATACTGTAACATCTGTATCAACCCGCCCACTAACCTCCCGCTTTATCTTTAGGTTCCGCAACTGGAACACGACGCTGCGGCTGAAGGGAACATCACCGTCCAGGATCGTTGAAAAGATCGTGGAGCGCAGGTCACCTCAGCCCTCCCCCAGCACCTCTCCATTGCCCCCAGAGAACCACCCAGGCCCTTGCTGCCACTCTCACGCCATCCTCCAACGCTCCCCCGTCCGCCACCAACGGTGTCGAGGACACACTGCCACACACTGTGCCTGTTGTGACGGCCAAACCCGGTTGTTGTCACCAGCAGCAAGTAACGTCTGTAGCTCCTCGCCAAAGACCAACGGCAAGTGCTAAAGGCGCGGCCACCTTGAGTCTCTGATCTTCCCTCAACTACTACAGCTTTAATACCTTCTTCAGTATGTCTGTGGTGGAGGTTCACACCCCCAGGTCCTCCTCCAGGGGCGGCCCGTCCCATCACAGGAATTCATGTGGCTTTTCAATCGTGTTTGTTTTGAGAAATTTCGTGAATGCAAATGTGTGAATCTGTTAAATATGTTGTTGGCGTGCTATCATACATACACATACACGCTTATATATATATATATATTAACTCATACATTATATTAAATATTAGTTCCCATAAAGAGCATAATTTATTTTCTTATTCATATATAAATATATATAGAGAGGTCCTGAATATTACTGTATAGACATATGCAATGTATTTTGTGCTTCCTCGGTGCCGTGATAACACTTAGCGTATACCATAACTAATATTGGCAGCTTGTTGATCTGGCGTTGGCAACCATGTGTGACGGCACTATCTACCTGTACTGTGTGTGTGTGTGTGTCACTTGTGCCAGGCAGGTATTTGTAGAGGGGGTTTAAGGCAGGTGTTTGTAGAAGGGTGCCAGGGAGCTGCTTGTAGAGGGGTGGCAGGCAGCTGGTTGGGGCCAGAACCTGAGATTACATGTAGACAGACACCTAAATAATACACAGAACCTCACTCAACCATAAACTGTACAACACACGACATAATTCTTACACAGTTAATACCTGCCCAGACACAACACCTGCCCAGACACAACACCTGCCCAGACACAACACAACACCTGCCCAGACACAACACCTGCCCAGACACAACACCTGCCCAGACACAACACCTGTCCAGACACAACACCTGCCCAGACACAGCACCTGCCCAGACACAGCACTGCTCCAGACACAACACCTGCCCAGACACAACACCTGCCCAGACACAACACCTGCCCAGACCCAACACCTGTCCAGAACACAACACCTGCCCAGACCCAGCACCTGCCCAGACACAACACCTGCCCAGACACAACACCTGTCGACCCAACACCTGCCCAGACACAACACCTGCCCAGACACAACACCTGTCCGGACCCAACACCTGCCCAGACACAACACCTGTCCAGACACAACACCTGCCCAGACCCAACACCTGTCCAGACCCAACACTTACCCAGACACAGCAGGCCCCACAACACCTGTCCAGACCCAACACCTGTCCAGACACAACACCTGTTAAAACCTTTCAGCTTGATGTTAATTATCTTCGTAGTAAGTTAACTTTGTCATTATTTTGATTCAACAGTGAGAGTTAAATTAATCACAACTCCGGAAATAATTTACATATATAACCGGAAGAGAGAGATACAAGTAAGTGATAAGGAAGATAATCAACAAGAGCCTGAGAGATAGTCAACAAGAGCCTGAGAGAGAGTCAACAAGAGCCTGAGAGATAGTCAACAAGAGCCTGAGAGATAGTCAACAAGAGCCTAAGAGATAGTCAACAAGAGCCTGAGAGATAGTCAACAAGAGCCTGAGAGAGAGTCAACAAGAGCCTGAGAGATAGTCAACAAGAGCCTAAGAGATAGTTTATGTCTCTACAACGTAAATTTGTTTACAAGTTGATTGTAGTTTTTTGACTGAATATTTATTTTATTTCTTCTTTTATGCAAGTAGACAGAGAAGAAAAATCCTGAATGAAGAATTTTTGTTAGGTTAGGTTAAGTTAGGTTAGGAGAGGTTAGGTTAGGATAGGTTTGGTTAGGTTAGGTTAGGTTTTGTTAGGTAATGTGCTATAGTTATTGGTGAAGTTGAGTGATTCTGGTAATGTTTTGTGATGCAGTAGAGGCAACGTGTTGGTGAGACGAGTTGTAGGAAAGTCATTTGTATGATATTTGTCCACCTGCTGATGGTAATTGACCTCTGGATGGGTTAGTTAAGTAAAGGTGAACAAGAAGTAGCCCTAAGTTACGTAAGGATGCCCTCAGATGTGGCTACAGGTATAGGGCGACAGAGCACCAACTGACAGGGAAGGCTTGACAAAATTCCTCTTTCTAGTTCCGTCAGTGAAACAAAATCTTCATAACATCGTCTACCACATCTTAACAGGACCACAGTATATACACTTAGGTCGTGGGTGCCGGTGACCTCACAGTGGTAGCAACCTTCACCAGCATGACAAAATTTGAAGAGTTTGGTGTAGGTAATAATGGTGAAGAACTTTATCCTTAATCACCATTACATTATTAATCGTATGAGTTAAGTAATTTATCAATGGTCAATCTATTCTCCGATGTGCTTTAAAAAATATATCAACCATGAACACTCGAGGCTTCCGTATGTCGGTAACATTTGTGCGTGTACTGAGAAATTTAACAACACTTCTTAAGTATTGTGTTGAGTGCGGCCATTACAGGAGTGTATCCGAGGCTGGGCTCTCTTTAGTGTGTCCGCTGGGCGAGTAGGAATGACGTAGGATTTTTATTCACAGGATGATTGTTCGGTAAATATATTAGGGCGTTTCTTTTGTTTGGTTGTTCATTACGTTCATATTCGTTGACGATTTTTTATTCACATCCGATAATGGTTGTCTGTGAGCCTGTTGTTATATAAGTTGTTTAATGGCGGCACAACTTGGGCAATATCCGTCACCTGGCCTCCGTCACGGACATGTTTAACTCCCATATAAGATCGTGGTGTAGCCTCGACAACACAGAGACGGTACACTGACACCAATAAAAAGTCTCTTTGGAGATAATTGCACTGGACAAAATCTCTCGACTTCACTGTAATTATTCCGTAGACAAAATGACAGCTAGACCAGTTTCTTAGTTAAAGTGTTGATGCTGTGTTAGGTGAGCCGCCGTACAGCCCACAATGACAACAGCTTCCCTCTCTGGCCACAGACGGCGTTATCCCCTGCAGCTGTTCCTCTTGACAGAAACTAAATTGAATTTCGCTATCACCTCTCCCGGCCATGTCCCTGGCCAAACCTGAGATAAAATGTGGGTTATCTTCCCACAGTCCCGCTGAGGACGTTTGGCAAGGCTAACGATTGTGACGTAGAGACGAATAAGTTTACATATACTGTACAGTATACGTGGACAACGACACATACAGCAGCAGGTGGCGCCGGGGCCCACCGAGGCTCCACTCATGTGTTTCTTTTCTAGTGATTGTAAAAATTAATAGAAAAATGACATACATAAATAATTAATAATAGTAGAACAAACACACATAAACAAAACTAGACTCTTTATTGTGAGAATTAAGGGAAGAATATTACTTTACTAACGTCCATGTCTTATATTGTACAAGACTGAAACTGTTCTTCAAACAGTTATTGTTTATTATCTTGTTCTGTGGCACTCCACCCCAGACACTCCACCTGTGGCACCCCACCTGTGGCACCCCACCTGTGGCACTCCACCTGTGGCACCCCACCTGTGGCACTCCACCTGTGGCACCCCACCTGTGGCACCCCATCCCTGGTATTCAACCCTTACCACCACCCCTGGCGCCTCAACCCTGGCACCCAATCTTGGCCATCCTACCCCCAGGAACCCCACCTCTGGCACTCTCAGGCACACCACCCCTGGCAGCTCTGGGGTTCACTGTGGACAACTCGCCCAGTAGTGTTGTCTCAGTGCTGAACATAATAGTGTACAGTACAGGTGTATAACATTATATTGTATCTGTATGAATAAATTACTGACAGCTGGATCGTGTTAAGTGTAGTAAAGTGTAATATATATATATATAAAATCATGCTAATTTAAATTTGTTTCGTGGCCTAAGGCTGTCTCACACACACGTCACATTAACGTTGTGCCAAACATTCGGTGACGTCACACACCGTTGCCACGCGCCGCCATAATACTCATGTAGAAATCAGATAAATAAAGCAATGTTTAACAACCAGGAAGTTTTATGACCAACTACCCTACCTGGAGTCGGTGAACTTTACACACTTTAATAATATAGTAATATAGGAGGTGAGAGAGAGAGAGAGAGAGAGAGAGAGAGAGAGAGAGAGAGAGAGGAACCACATTACCCACACAATGACAAATATTAAAACACCTACACCACTTGAAGGATGTGCACTACATACCTCATGTTGTCTTCAGTAATCACGTGTACTGCTGAAGGTTCTCTCCGCCAGGCAGGTCACTCTACACTGGCCCCTGTCTTCACGGCGGGTTACTTCCTGTAGAGAACATTATTATTATTATTATTATTATTATTATTATTATTATTATTATTTATAGATAATTTTACAGGCATCATCTGACCTTAAGAGGGAGTCTGATAAGGTCATTGAAGGCTGGGAAAGGTTTTTATGATGAACGTAACGTGTGTGTGTGTGTGTGTGTGTGTGTGTGTGTGTGTGTGTGTGTGTTATGATGATGATAAGCGTGGTTTCACATAATACTGGAGTGCGTCAAGGATACCTGGTTTCACCTCGGAAATATAATGTGAATAATGATGAAGCAACACGAGATGTGAGAGTTAGTAAAGGTGACTGAGAAATGCAACTGAGACACACACACACACACACACACACACACACACACACACACACACACACACACACACACACACACACACACACACACACACACACACACACAGGGGAAATTGTTACATCCCCTATAATGTCGATGTTGAACCGCAGTGTGAGGAAGAGTTGGAGAGAATACAGTTTATGTCGATAAGTTTAGCAGAAGAACAATACAGGTAAATGTCTGACAGGTAAAGACATTCTCAATACACATGTGATGCTACACTCGGCGAAGATCTGGAGCAAGTTTCTCTTTTCTAACTAATAAATAACATAGGAAGAGTTCAGCCCATCAAATCTACTCACCGTGGCCTGGCTTTGAGCACGAGTCCAAGCTTTACTGAAATAATTTTAGCTTAAGTCCTGATCAACCTGTCATGGTAAGGCTTAAAATGTGATGATGAGATGATGGTGTTGTCAAAATATTAGGCTGTACTTTGTAATATCATGACTCTTTCTGAATGGTGTGTGTGTGTGTGTGTGTGTGTGTGCGAAGTCTTCCTGTAGAGATGAGAATATCTGTTGTCTGCCAGAGTGAATAATCTACGGAAGTTGATATGCACTGTGTAAGACATCAAGAGAATTTGGTTAATTGACAGAAAAAGAAATGAAGATATCAAGGTTGAAGTCTCTGGATACAGCTAAATGGATGAGAGTACACTGAGGTGGTATTGATTAATGAGGTGCTAGGCAGATGAGAGATCAATAGATTGTCTTGATAACATAACAAGACCAAGACCCAGAAACAGGGACAGTCACGTAAAGGGCCTTCACGCTAGGTCAGACAAGAGGCAGGACTGAAGAAGTGTATGGTAGGGTCATATCGTAGTCTCCATAGTGAATTAATATCAATTAGAGTGAATACGTCTGATGACCAAGAATTTACTTCATGTGTTACGTATGCATAGGGATGTGAGGAAGTGTGGGTTATGTTTACACACACACACGCACACGCACGCACACACACACACACACACACACACACACACACACACGCACACGCACGCACACACACACACACACACACACACAAATAATAACACCATCAACCTTTCAAAAGTGTACAATAGGTCCCTGTTATCCGGAGCCCATCACCTGTGTTCCCAGACAGGCAAGTCATTAAGGTGTTGGCAAGATGTTCCCTCAAACCGCTCAATTATTGCTGTGAACCAGAAGCTAATACCTAGCTGTTGGCGTTCCTTCCTCACCACCCAGTATCTCCCACAGTCCACAGCTGCACCACCTTCCATAGTACACAGCTGCACCACCTTCCACAGTACACAGCTGCACCATCTTCCACAGTACACAGCTGCACCACCTCCCACAGTTAACTCCCACAGCTGTACCATTCCCGATAGTCCCACAGCTGCACCTCCTGCCACAGCCTACAGCTACCTGACATAGTGAGTTAGGAAGTATCTAAAAAAATATTAGCACATGTAAGGATCTAGTTATAAAATACCCGCTAGTTATAGTGCTAATATAGTATTAGTTCAAGTTACAGTGTCTACTACAGTGACTTACAGTGAACCATGACACCAAATGAAGGTTTGACGGTAGAACTGCACATCACGAGGCAGCTGTAAGCCTTAACAAGCTAACTAACGAGGATGAAGTTATAGCTTGAACAAGGGAAGATGTGTATCAGTATCCTAAATAAAAAAAGACAGACAGACAGACAGACAGACAGACAGACATAAAGAGAAAGATAGACAAGAAGTCACAAGAAGAAAGAGACAAACAGACAGTCAGAAAGAGAGAGAACGGGAGAAACAGAAAGAGAGAACTACGTTGAATAAGGAAAGACAATACTTCTGTTAGTGATGCGGCGGCCGAGTGGAAACAACGCTCGGGTCCTGCCCTAAAGGTCCCTGGTTTACACTGATCACCCCAGGTTAATCTAACACCGCCAACTTGTGTACCGAAAGAAGGCTTAGTCTACAATTTGTTATACTCACACTGCCATTATGAGACCCTCTTTTATTTCTTCATGTTTTTATTAATCCTAAGTTACTAAATGTTAAGTCAATGAGGAGAGACTAAACACGCGTCTTGCCAGTTGCTGCAGCATCATCTTACATTTCCCAGCCAGGAGCATGAGAGGCCCCGAGTCTTGGGAAGATGACCGGAAGTGGTGGTTGTCACATGAGCCTGGTGACTCTGGGTTCCTTAGCTGCCCTCCGTTACCTTCCCTCCTCTGTGTTGTCCCTACACGGCCGCTGGAGGAACACTAATAGCAAAGACTTGGGTCCTCTCAGATGCCCTCGTAAGCCGACGGTTGGTACGAGGTGATGGATCTATCAGGAGTGTGGCTCATAAGTACAGTAACTAAAAGTACTTACTGATAAGAATAAGTGACGAGATATCCCTGAGTAAATACAGTGATGGAAGTCTTCTGGTGAGGTAATCATTGTCCACTTAGATGTTTACATGACTTACATATACGAGTTCAATTGTTCAGCAGTAAAGTAAGGTTGCGTCCCGACCATGACTCCAAGGATAACTGAAGCAGTAATGGCCAGAGATCTAACACAGTCTACCAAAGTAAAATTTGAAGTAAGGGTGATACCTAAAATCCCTCTGTTGTGGTGATGGTGTTATAATATATGTACAGTGTCGCGACTCTTATGATATATTATGCATTTCATTTTATTTCCATTGAATGAGACCATGATGGACGAGCCCCTAAAATGTGTGTACACGATGAGGCTGTCTGGTGACTAGTGCTGGAATTCTTTTGTGACTCAGACAGTTATAATGGGTAATCTCTGGTGTGTTCAATCATCTGTACAAGAACAAACTTGGTCACTAGCGTTACAGTCACTAGTGTTACTCTCTAGAACAAGGTGAGCCAAGACATTATCTCCTACCAGGGCCACACACACACACACACACACACACACACACACACAACTGTGGGAATAACACCTTGGCCAATTAGTACAGGTAAGTTCACACAAAAGTGGAGTGTTTATGTCCCAGCAGACACCTTCCTCCAATACTCGTGGCTGTGGGATCACGCCAAAGCTCTATACTATTGATCATGTTCAGAGTTGATCATGTAGAGATATGATCAGGGTTAAAAGATGATCAAGTACAGAGGCGATTATGCCCACACTGGTCACGTGGATTGGGCCACACTGGTCAGGTGTTGGACCAAACTGGTCAGGTGTAGGACCAAAATTGTCACGTGGAAGGGTCAGGTGTTGAACGACACTGGCCACGTGGACGGGTTAGGTGTAGAACCACACTGGCCACATGGACGGGTTAGGTGTAGAACCACACTGGCCACATGGACGGGTTAGGTGTAGAACGACACTGGCCACATGGACGGGTTAGGTGTAGAACGACACTGGCCACGTGGACGGGTTAGGTGTAGAACCACACTGGCCACGTGGACGGGTTAGGTGTAGAACCACACTGGCCACATGGACGGGTTAGGTGTAGAACCACATTGGCTACGTGGACGGGTCAGGTGTTGAACCAAACTGGCCACATGGACGGGGTCAGGTGATGAACCTGTTACGAGTTGGGGATTTAGAATATAGTTAAAAGTCTACCCAGATCCCAACAAGCAACAACAAAAAAAAAACCAAAGACAATCGGACTATAAAAGGGTAGACAAAGGATGCGAGTTTTTGTTGTGTATAATAAAGTACCATAAATTCCTAAACAAAAATATTCAGCTTTCTATAATTTACCCTTAACCATACTTAACCTAAACATTAACAGTATATACATATTTATACAACATACAACAATACTGAAGCAAGTGGACGTGGGGAGGCAACATAAGATTACAAATACTTAAGTGCGGAGCTGAGATGGCTGACGAGTAAGGCTGAGTATTGTAGAAGACGGTAGGTAGTCACTGTGCCGTAGGTTTCCAGGATAGGTGATCCTGTGGTCACTTCCCAGAGTGAACTGAACTCTCCTCGAACTGGAGCCGATGAAGAAGACTTGTAGGAGGTGACGCAACAACCAGGATATGGAGAAAGGAAACCCCGGAGTGGTAACTAAGACTAGTCATACTCGTGTTTCGTCCCTAGATGGCGTTGCTCGTGGTGCTGGGTAGGTAGATCAGGACAATAGATGGCGTAGTTCGTAGTGCTGGGTAGGTAGATTATGACAATTGGTGGCGGGGTTCGTAACAAACCCCATTGGCCACACTGATCGTGGTGTTCAGGTAAATGACTGACTCACGCCTCGGTGTTGGCCACTCGGTCATGGTCGATCTCAACACGACTCTCGAGTACAAATAAAAAACATTTTTTAAGACATATTTTCTCCACAAAGACACAGTTGGTGTTTGTTGTTCACACGATTTAAAACAGAATTCATCTTATGTTTGTTTGTTTAGTTGTAACTTCTATGACGCCTTAATTATTTGTTTACAACTCCGCTCTCATGACTGTCCCTCACTCACTAACAGAGCCTAAAGAGCCCCCCCCCACTAGTGAGACCCTCCCTCACCTCACCCTAGTGGGGACGGGGACAACTAAACAACTAAACTTCACTTGTTTAGCCTCGTCAGCCCTTCAGTACAGTCATTGTCATTCACTCACTGGCAAAGAATATTCATTATTTTTATACTGCCACTTTTGAAAATGCGTGTGTGTGCGTGTGTGTGTGTGTGTGTGTGTGTG